TTGAAATAGTATTTTTTATTTTGCTTGTGTTATATTTTTGCTTATTTGAAATATTAGAGAAAGCAACATATTTGCTTTTAGTAGAAAATATATTAATGAAATCTACTCAAATAGTATAGAATTGTGCCTTTTTTATTTATCTTTCCTAGTCCATTATTATTTTCCTGGAAGTAAAGGAATAGTTCTTATTCAAATCTAGACTTTTACTATTTTGCACAGCTATGTTAGTGAGAAAGCCAGTGACTCAGTTGCCTTCTTAGTGAGTTGAATGCAGTGTGTAGCAGAATGGGTGTGTGAAACACCCTATGAACTTAAATACTCTGTGACTTCCAGTTGCCCAGCATGTAGCTTATAGTGCCTTCCAAGGGCTTCTGGTTGGGACTGTTGAAGTGTTTTAGAGCCAGCTGTCATATTGGGATGAACAGTCCATGAGTATACTTGGCATGTCACAGGTTGAGTTTCCTTTTAATTTTGAGTGAATGTATAGCATTTAAAATGCAGGAATGGAATAACACCCCCCCCCTCACCTTTCTTCTCCCCTCTCTCTCTCTCTCTCTCTCTCTCTCTCTCTCTCTCTCTCTCTTTCTCTCTTCCCTCCCTCCCTCCCTTCTTCCCTCCCTCCCTTCAATTTCTGATGTTTATTGAAAACCACAGTAGACCTCTCCTTACTATTCTTCATGGCAGCCATGAGGTGTATTTCCCAGTTACTGTCTGGGTGAACATTGCTCTTGACTTTTCATTATCTAGAGGGAAAGAGGCCTTGTGTTGATGAACACCTGTAGTCCATATGGAACCGTACAACTTGATATGGATGTGGAGGAATCCCATGTTCAGCAAGCAAGCAAATTCCTTGGACTGACCATACATAAAAAGAAATTGGAAAATGTGCCAGTCCAAAGTCCACTGCTTGACTAGCTCAGAAGCCTCAGTCTGAGGAGAGAAGGATGGGAAGGCTTCTCCACAGCAGCATGATAGACATTTCCCCAGGCATGGTTGCAGAAAACTGGCACACAAGTGTTTTGACTGTGGGCATGATGTTAGTGGGGGGATAGGAAATAGAGGCAATGCCCCTGTAGATGGTAGTAGACACGGAGGAGCATGCTGAGATGGGCAGACTGATTAGGATAAACATCTCTGAAAGAGGTGGGATAGAGCTGAGGAAGCTGTCAGACTGCAGTATGAGCCTCGCCCTTGAGAAAGAGGGAAGGAGGCAGAGAAACAGGCAGGAACAGAGTTGGGTTGAAGGATCTGATATTAAACGATAACTGTAAGAGTCCTTACTCCTGCTTGTGTGTGACAGTTGTATAGCTTGGTCTGTTTGTAAGGCTCATAGCTGTGAAATCAGGACCTGTCCCTGTCCCAGCCCTGTCCCAGGCTCTTAGCTGGCTTTTAGGATCCTGTTCCCCATGCTATATTACCTCTCCCAGACTTGATACGGGGCGGGGGTAGGAGGGGTGGGGAGGGGAGCTAGGTCCTGCCTCAACTTGATGCATCATGCTTTGTTCAAGCCCATGGGAGGCCTGCATCTTTTGGAATGGAGACAGATGAGGAGCAGGGTGGGGTAATGGGAGGAAAGGAGGAAGGGGAAACTGGTTGGCATATAAAATAAATGAAAAATGTTAAATAAATAAACAAAGAGTCCTTGAGGCAGTGCTGTCTGTTGGAGGAGACCCATTTCACTCCAGATGGACCTGACATGCTTAGGCAATGAATCAGAGCAGCCTATGGGATATATAGCTTTGGTATCCAAGTGGTGATGTTTTTTTTAAGTACTATGGCTATAGCCATGGGTTCATTTGTTCCCCTTGGATGGAAATCCAAGATGTTCTTTATCCCAGCTGCTGAAGTTCATCCTGTAAGTCCCACATTCACATTTAAGAAACATCACCACATCTGTGTCAGAAGACCACTGCTCTCAGCTGAATGGGACAACCCATCCCTCCCTTTACTACAGTTAACTTCCTGTCTCATGCTGCCAATTCTGGCTCTCAGCTGAATGGGACAACCCATCCCTCCCTTTACTACAGTTAACTTTGTGTCTCATGCTGCCAATTCTTTAGCTCACACATCTTTAGTCTTCACTTTGATAGATCTTCCTGGCAGGCCTATCATATCCTTTGCCTGGGCTCTGGAGTCTTAGGGTCATGCCTCTCTTGAGTTACCATTGCTGCACTGGCTGTTAGAAGTTGCATTGGGTTTGTTACATATTCCCACATCATCTTGGAGTGAAATGGAGCCTCTTCTTGCTACTTTGGGTCAGTTATTCCTGCAGTATGTTATTTATTCTTTTAGTCCCTGGGCATAAAGAATTCAGCCTGCTACTGTGGCAATCTATAGCTTGTTCCCTGGAACCCTCATCAGGCCCAGTAGCAAGAATATACATACCTCTTGGGGACTTGCAGCTTCCCAGTGCAGAGTTTCAATGAATAGGAAATGGAACATCCCTTATGTGCCAATGGGAATATCCATAAGAGAAGCAATGCTGACTCTCATGCTCTGGTTTGGGGCCCATGGGTTCTTCCTACTCAGGGCACTGTATTATTTAGATGCCTCACACCTTCTGAAGGACAGTCCTTGATCCTGTCTGAGGTGCTGAAAGCTTTTGAGCCAAGATGTGCAGATGGCTGGTCCAGCATTCTATGATGCCAGCCACCACTGGGCAGTGCACTTTGGAATCCAGAATGAATCACATAGACTTGGTCCTGCATCTTTTTTTCTATGAAGTGGGCCTTGGGCAGATGCTGTGGTGTGCAGGATCTCATGCCTCCTGAGCAAGCAGTTTTCAAGCGGTAGCTATCACTGGCTGAGCCCCACTGGGTTTGGCTATTGAGTTTTGTAAGTAGTATTGGTATCCTACAAGCAAGCATTCTCTTTCACAGGACCCAGGAGCAGAGGCGTGCCAGGAGCTGACTCTCCAATGGGGTACACTTCTTTATCACAGATGGCATGACTGCTCTAGAATCCCAGCGGCCTGTTTGGTGATTCTCCCGGGGCTTGCTTTAAGTTCTCCATTTCCATGTAGTCACGGTAAAGAATTTAATGCTATGCTGCTAAGCAGTCATACCCAAAGGGTGGTTTCCACCTGCAAAACTGCATTAGTAGATCTGTTTAGAGGACTGTAATGTTAAAAGATAGGAACGTTGAGAAAGCAGAGGCTGAGAGGAGCCTAGAAGCCATCACACTGTCTAAGCAAAGGTAAAAGATGAGAGTGAAGTGCTGGCCACAGGAGTGATGAGGAAAGGGCTGTTTGGAGAGGCCTGTGGAAAGTAGCATTGCTAAAATCACCTGTCTTGGGGGAATGCCTGTTTAGCACCATCCTGGGATTTTTGAGATCTGCCAGGTACACTGAAAGAAATCCATCTGCAGCATCTTTTGCTCTTGCATTTTAAAGTGTTCCCAGTGATCAAGCCTCTAAAAGACACTTGAGCTGTGCTGAGCCAAAGATGTTAATGAGTGATGTTTAATCAACTGGCTCTTGAGCTGAACCCTAATATTAATTTTATTGAACCATTTTTTTTTCTTCCAAAAGTTCAGAGCTTGGCTAAGTGAGGTATAGATTGAAGCACAATATCAAATACCTCTTTGATCTGCTGTGTTTCCTCTGTAGCCCTAGAACTTAGAACTGGGCCCAATACTTATTAGACAGAATAAATAATGATAAAGGGAATGCATTCTCTTGACTAATAATGGGTATGGAAGCTCTTTTCTATGGACATTAGCTGCTACTGGGAGATGTGGGATCTGCAATGTCCTAAATAGTCAAAGAGAAACGACCTGTCCACAGTCTTATGGTAAGCAGAGACCAAGTCTATGAAGTATAGGCAGCTCAGGTGTTATTTGATTACACCTGGTTATTTGGCTTCATCAGAGCTCACAGTAAGAAAAGATCAAGTAGTACTCTTTCCCTTCTCTTGATTGCAAGCAGGGACACCAAACATCCTGCATTATACTTACTATCAATAACTGTTTTCCACAATTACAGGGAAAGTGCTAAAAATCTTTAATAGTCTAGCCATACAAATCAGTATCTGGTTATTTACTTTCCTCTCACATTTGAGAAGTCTAAGAAACTGCTAGGAAATAGACCATGTGTTAAAGTAGTAAGGATGCTTCTCAGCATTCATTCAGGCCATAAACATTTGGAACTGTCTGAAATAGATAACAATTAGGGGTTGACATGGGACTTAGCTCTTGAAAATGACCTGTAGTTTGATTTATGAAGATAAGATTTGGCACCTAAGCTAACTATGTTAGCCTGAGATCAACTTCCCACATAGAATGAAATACTGCTTCCCTCTGCATCTTTCAACTTTGTTGTGTCCTACCTCCCTGTCTGTCATCATCCTATTGATTTCAGTGACTTGAGAAAGATGTAGAAGCTCAGTAGTAGTTTGGGAAAAACGGGCTAGTAGACTGAGACTCTAGAGCACCAGGTTTCACTGTGCGTTGTCTCCTTCATCCTCCTATTGGTACCCTATTGTGTCATCATCCTATTGATTTCAGTGACTTGAGAAAGATGTAGAAGCTCAGTGGTAGTCTGGGGAAAACGGGCTAGTAGATTGAGACTCCAGAGCACCAGGTTTCACTGTGCGTTGTCTCCTTCATCCTCCTATTGGTACCCTATTGTATGGGAATCAAGATTCACTAGACTCAGTACAGGTTAAGTGAAGTTTATTCGGGGAGAATGCACTTACACAAGAAGCAGATGGCCACCCCAGGTTCCTGCTCTAAGGATCCACACAGGCCACAAGAGAGTGAGCCACCTGTCAGGATCCCAGAACTAAACTCAATCCCAGTCAGGTCCACATCTGTGACCATGCACAAATGGGTGTGGTTAGCACTCCAAGTGTGGGCGGGATGGGGATCTCACTACAATTCCCCTTTTAGTCTAAAGAAAAAGATTTAGGCTTGATACAAAACTATATACAAAGACAACAAATATCAAGTGTGCTCTGGGAGAAGGAAAAGTGAGAACAAACACACTTAAGACCTATTGCCAGAAAAATATGGAATGCTTCACGAATTGGCATGCCATCCTTGGGCAGGGGCTATGCTAATCTTCTGTGTATCGTTCCAATTAGTGTAAGTGCTTTCCTCCTGAATAAACTTCACTTAACCTGTACTGACTCTAGTGAATCTTGATTCCCATGCAATAGTACCCAGTGTTCAGATGCTTTCTCTATACCAATAAGAGATGAATGGCCACTTTTCTCTTGGTGTAGTTTCAGTGCCTCTTCCCAAACTCATGTTAAATTGTAATTGCCACCATGTAGTATTGGGAAGTAAGACCTTAACAAGTGAGTAGATCATGAGGGCTACACTTGTGTCCTCCCTAGTTTTTATGTCAACTTGACACAAGCTAGTGCCATCTGAGAGGAGGGTATCTCAACAGAGAAAATGCCTCCATACTAGCAATCAGGCTATAGGCAAGCCTGGTAGGGCATTTTCTTAATCAAGTGATTGATATAAGAGGACCTAACCCATTGTAAGTGGTACCATCCATGGGTTAATGGCCCTGCATTCTATAAGAAATCTGACTGAACAAGCCATCAAAGAAAGCTAGTAAGCAGCACCCCTCCATGGCCTCTGCTTCAGTTCCTGCCTGCAGGTTCCTGCACTGTTTGAGATCCTGTTATGAATTCCTTCAATAATGAGTAGTGACATGGAACTGTAAGTAAAATAAACCCTTTCTTCCCCAAGTTGCCTTTGGCCTTGGTGTTTCATCACAGCAAAAGAAACTCTAACTAAGACAACCCAATTAGATGGACTGATGTTGTGCCATGAATGTGGCTTGCCTTTTCTTTGTATGTGCTCATTTGCTTTTCCAGTCTCTTCCATGCCATGATGTAATATCAAAGTCCACCTCAGGTGCTATCACCATGCCCTTGGACATCCCAGCTTCCAGAAGGGTGATCTAAATGGTCACTTGCAAATTCCCTGGTCTTTGGTATTTTGTAATATCAACAAGAAGACGTATGCTTACACCCTGGAGTGACACATTCTTATACATCCAAGAAAATCTGGATAGGATGTTGTCCATCCTGCATCCTTACTGATGGAAGACTAAAGTATGCTGTAAGTGCCTTTTGAAGCCAGGGTGCCTCATTCCAGTCTTTGACTCTACGACATTGTAGCTGGATAACATCTAGACCAGCCCTGCTCTCCTTTAGTTTACTCATTTGTTTAACTTAAGGTTAAAAAAATTACCTGGTAAGATAATTGACAGAATCAAATGTATTCATATTTTAGCACAAAATTTTGATGTGAGTCCTTAAATGCTGACCCCTAGATCTCCTTACCCCTTTGACACCAGAAAAAAATTGGTCAAACTTTGAGAAAAGCCCATAGGAGAAGCTGTGTGGTATTTCTGATTTAATTAATGTCTATGTGTGAGCACTTAGCTAAGTAATAGTCATTCTACTTCAGCTTCATCCTAATTGATTCCAAAGTCACAATTTTAAATGACTTCATTCATTTATTATTAATTCAAAGCTCTATTACTGAATACTGTGACCACTGGCCACATGTGGCTTTTAATTTGCACATGTGTCCTTTTAACTTAAACTACCATTAAGTAGAATTAAATTAAACTCCAGTGAACAAATCAATTGCTCAACAGTTGTATGACTAGTAGCTCCCATGGTGACCACGCCTATCATTGAAATAGATAGTTGCTGACTCTGTTGTGGTTGTGGACACAGGCTTACAGCATTTATTACCCCCCACAACCAGGGCCTGTGCACACTCAGGCCACCTGGGTACTTGAGAGCTGTATGCACACTCAGGCCAGCTGGGTACTTGAGAGCACTGTGCACACTCAGGTCAGCTGGGTCCTTGAGAGCTGTGTGCACACTCAGGCCAGCTGGGTACTTAAGGGTTTTAGAAGTAAACAGTAGAACTTGGAGTGAGTTATATCAAATCCAAGTCCTTTCAGGACCTGTAACCTAGTCCCTTTGCTTCTTTGTTTTAATTCTCTGCACCACACACTCCGGCTCAGTTTTTACAAGAGAAAGACCTTGCAGAATCCTGTGTAGCTACATAGATTGTCTGGTACAGTTATTAGAAGTAGGTTGCCCCAATTTTACAGAGTGAGTTCAAGATGACTGCACTGTGACCCTTCCTTCGTTTTGGTGACAATACTGCTGTATGTTCCTTTTCACCCCGCCCCCTCCCTCAGGCCTGCCTTTTCCTTCTGTGAATAACATCAGAGAAAGTTAGGTATGTTGGAAAACTTGGTACTTTCAAGTCACCACCAAGATCTAGCCCTCAGTTACCATTACTCATGGTGGTGGGAAAATAAAGGGCTCTCTGCTTCCTTTATTGGATGGTTTAATAGTCCCTTAATTGAGTGGAACTGGAACTGGGTGCCAGTGCCTGTGAAAGAACAAAGGGCCTTCGGGCTGTTTCCTTTTGCTAATGACTTGAGAAGCACCCTAAAGTTTTCTAAACTTTACTGCAACCAGAACCACTTGGACTTTATACTTCCAGGGGTGACTGCTAATTGCTAAATCTTACCACCAGGGATGCATGCACTGTAATCCAGTGTTAGCATGCTGAAATCTTAGAGTCACTCAAGTGATAGCTCATCTCTCCTTCATTCTCCTCACTCCCCTTTCCTTCTCTCTTCTCTATCCTCCCCTTGCCAGAGTTTCACACACTTACCTAACTGTTGCTCCCCACAGGGTTCAGCCCCTGTTTTTCCAGGAAGTGCCACCCAAGTCTCTCTTCTGCTAAAAAAAAAATAAAAGTCAGAAACTGTCAAAATAATGTTCAGTGGTCTCTTTCCTCCAGTAGGGGCGCTATATAATTCTCCAGTCCATTGACTACCAGAAACATTACCTAGTTCCTAGCCTTCCTCCACACCCCATTTCTGAGATACTTTATTTCCTTAAGGGCAGTGTCCCTTACCCTTGAACCAGTTCTTTAGTGTGTGTGTGTGTGTGTGTGTGTGTGTGTGTGTATGCGCACGTGCGTGTGTTTTGGTGTCCTAGTTTATTCATTTCTAAAGTAGGGTTATAATAAGCCTAGACTATGAAGGTAGTGAGGATTAAAGACATCACTTGCCAGAGTGCTTCACAGTTAACGAGTTGAGTGAAATTACCATTTTCTAAGTAAAATAAAAAATAATGCTGGAACAATGACTTTTCACCTTTCTTAGCCCACTAGTAACTAACTGCTCAATAAACATATCATTTCTATTTCCTTTGTATTTAATTAATCTATTTTATTTGAATGTATTTTTTTCTTATTTTCTAATTTTCATTCAGCTCTAAAACTAGATTTGGGCATTATGCACTAAGGAGCATGTAGGATTTTCTATTTATGCATAAATAGCACATTGATTAGCATTAATCAGTTAATACCGATGGTTCCAGTCTTTGAGGCCTCTCTCCTCTTAAGGAAAAGGCATTCTCAAATTTGGAAAGTTCTCCTTAGACCTTCCTGAATCTGTCTTATTTCACTTGCCCTGTATTTTTATCCTCAACAAAGGACACTGATTTTAGCCTAGAGCAAGCTAGGAAAGCTGGTAGAAATTGTTCCTGTCTGTGTTGGCATCTTTCCATTGAGCTTGGTACTTCTGCATATCTCTGGGAAACCTGTCACAGCTCGATTCCAGAGTGGAAAGCCAACAGCTCCCCAACAGGGCACTGACACCCATGGATAACCAGGTGCCTTCCTCAATAGCCCAAGGCAACTTTGAGAATTCCATTATCAGGCCTTGACCCAAGTCTGTTCAGTTCCTTACGGGCACTGACACCCATGGATAACCAGGTGCCTTCCTCAATAGCCCAAGGCAACTTTGAGAATTCCATTATCAGGCCAGCATGTGTCAGCCTTGACCCAAGTCTGTTCAGTTCCTTATCCCTGTTAATCATAGGAGAGCCATAGGAGCTTTGGGTTGTGATTTCTCCCTTCTGTAGAGGATGAGGCTGAGGCCCTGGGGTGGAGCAGGAAACCTATCCAAGCTTACAGAGCTATAGCAATGTCTAGCTTGGGCTGGGTGGCTTTAGAGCACAGGCTCTTAGACCTGCACTGCTCTGCCTTTCACACACTGTCCATTTTATCCTAGCAATAATCCTAAAATAAGCCCATAGATCACAAGTTATTCCTGGACACCTGACTTCTGGCTGTAAAGGGTAGCTTTGGTGCCCTTCGGGACCTTCTGTCCAGTTCCAGGCAGAGGGAGACAGAGTCTGTCTAGTCTGAGACCACTGGGTCAGCTAGTGTGATGGAATGGAGTTTCTCTGTGCTTTCTTAGGCTGGCTGACAGACAAGCTAGCTCAAGCTAGGCCCTCTTGTCTGTTGGCTGAGGAGTCCCAGTACTGTTCCTTCAAGTGGTCCTGGGTGATTTCCCAACAAGCAGTGCAGGAGAATGCATCCAGAGGAGGGCTTTTGTATGCTTGATGGTTTTCTGTGCCCTAGTTCCACTCCCCTGGGTTTGAGAAGGACGCTGTTTGTCAGGACGCCATCATTCCCTCTTGTAAAATTCTGTTTTGTGAAAGGAGAGAAACATCATAGAGCTCTGTCATTAACCTACCTTCTCTCCTAGTAAAGAAAGTTCATTGTTACAAACATTAAATATTTCTTTTGCCTTCCTCTGGCCAGGGTCCACTGGTTCTGGCATTTAGAGTGAAACCCTCATTAAGGACAAAAACACAAACTTACAGCCATGGAATGAGGAGCAGGGCCTCAGCAGATGCTGTGTACTCAGGGTGACTTCACTGGATCCAGGATCTTTGTTCCCTGGTCATGGCACTTCTCAAGAGTTTCCCCTGGCTGTGGTACATCAGCAAACATAACCACCTGGCCCAGGAGGCGAAGGAGATAAAATGCTGTTTCATAGGCAGCTGGAAGAGCATGTGGACTGACTGGCTATGCCAGGCTCCTAGTCTCTTCTTCCCACTGCCATCACTGGTGCATCTCAGATGGGACGGGACATGGAAGTCAAGGGACTGAGTTAACCTGAAGCCTTTCATAAAGAGAAGTCATCTCCTGGGGTACAGTACTATTCCCTCAACCCCAGAGATGCATCCCAAGATGCACAGGGGTATCTGAGACCACAGATAGCAGAAAACCCTGTGGTTGATGCCTTTCCATCTTCAACTA